GAACGTTTTGTGCACACGATGCCTCAGGCCTCGCAACAAATATAAAATATATGTCGGCACACAAATGTTTCAACTAAGGGTGTTGTGCACGCCAACTAGAAACAGTATTTGTTTTGAGTCTACCTAACTTGCTCACCATTTAAACAACAATAACACGCATATTGCTACACAGCTTCAATGGATGGTAATTACCCTAATTCTTTCTTTTTCCATCCAGTCTGTGAGCAAGATGTGTCGAATGAAATTAAACGTTTAGATCCGCGTAAATCTGTTGGTGTTGACAAAATCCATCCCAAATTAGTCATACAAGCTGCAAATGTTATCTCTCGCCCGTTAACCCACATTATCAACTGTTCACTGAGCCAAGGAATATTTCCAGATGCACTTAAAATAGCCAAAATAATCCCAATGCATAAAAAGGGGGCCAACACTGAACCCAGCAACTACATACCAATTTCAATTCTCCCAATTTTCAGTAAAATTATCGAATCAATTGTTAACAAGCAATTTATAAATTTCCTAGAAACAAAACATATACTTTTAGATACACAATTTGGATTTCGGAAAAAATGTAGCACTAAACTAGCCCTGGCAGACCTGGTCTCTGATATAGCCGAGCAGCTCGATAATGGGTTTCTTACTTTTGGGGTATTCATTGACCTCAAAAGGCCTTTGATACTATTAATCATGATATCTTATTGATATGGTATCAGAGACCTTCCATTAAACTGGTTTCAAAACTACCTCTCCCACCGCCAACAGTCAGTTTTCATTAACAACATTACATCGCCATACATGAACATACAATGTGGTACCCCACAGGAATCGATTCTAGGCCCTGTTCTATTTCTATTCTACATTAATGACATTGCAAATTCCACCAACTCCTTTCAATTTCGACTGTTTGCTGATGACATCAATTTATTCAAATTTATCAAAGAAAATAATATTAATCTTTCCCATATACACTCTGACCTGAAGCATGTTTGTGAATGGTGTCATGCTAACAAGCTCACTAAGTGCTGAAAAGACCAATTACATGATTATTAAAACATCCCAAAAAATAATGAACGTAGAAGGCAGCTTAGGTAACCAAATAGAGGGTGTCCCATCGGCCATTTACCTTGGAGTATCCATTGATCAGCATTTCAATTGGAAGTCTCACATTCGAAAAGTTATAAAATCCATTGCCACTAAGGTGGGAATTATATCTCGGCTCAGACATTATTTACCTAAATCAACTCTTATTTTATTGTACAACTCTTTAATTCTTCCACACCTTTCATAATGTATTGAAATTTGGGGAAACACGTATACTACTTTCCTGCAGCCATTACTTTTGCTTCAAAAGAAAATTGTCCGTCTTATAACTTTTTCAAACTACCGCGCCCATACTGCCATATTTAAACGACTTGGTATTCTTGACATTCACAAACTCTCTAAATTCAATACTTGCCTGTTCACCTTTGACCTTCTTAAAAATCGCTTCGCACATGATGTGAATTACTACTTAAACCCCCTTCCATACAACTACCCAACCCGACTCTCCCTTGAAAACAATTTTTACATTCCACAAGTGCATTCAACTCAAAGTAAACATAATATCAAATACGCAGTTACAAAGCACTGTAATGTACTTCACAATCACATTACAAATATCCCACATAGACACATGTTTAAACATACATTAAATTCCCTCCTACTAAATCAGTAACATTCATTCACTCACTCACTCATTCATTTGTTCAGTTATCCAGTTATTTATTTATCTATTCATTCAGTTATTTACTAATTGATCAAATAATTGTAAAAAATATTTCATCAACAGTTTGTTATTTTACTTTACATTATTTCACTTATTTAATTATATTTCATTTCTTAGTCATGCAGACACTTTCTGCGTATAACCCTAGTCGGGGACATGGACTAGACTAGTTCAATACCGAACTATTTCCGTGTCTCCTACAAAACAATATTTTATTTATCACACAAATATATGCATTTCTGTACATTAGTAATTATTTAATTTCCTTATGTTACTGGTGAAATAAATTTCAAACTTTCAAACAGACAGACTCAACTCAGAAATGTACGTTAAAAGCAAAGTATAACAGTTTACTGGTATACAGAGTCGTGCAAAAACAACAATCCAACTACAATATGCGAGGTCAAACACTGGAAATATGAACTCCCCACGTTCTAATCAGGGTGTGAGGTGACGGGGTTTATTCATGCAATAAAGCTGTTACTTACAATATCACTATATCAAAAGAAAACGGCGAAAGCCAGTAAAATTCAATATAAATCTTTGTATCTTTCAGAGAATCAGAAAGCTTGAATGGTTCAACTAGGTCATGCAAAATAGTTGTGATCGTTGGCTTACCACTGGTTTGCCGGGCAAACGTTTGGCAGATTCAACGACATTCCATATGAATATGATATTGAGTAGTTGATAAAATAAACGTCTGTGCCGGCATCCACTGGACACTGTAGCATGCATCTTCGACGCAGTGTTTACCCATAGTGCTACAAATATCGCCCTTAACAAACTAGAAAGATATAGCGACAAAAGGGTTAACTTAAGTACATATACCATGATCGCTGGAAAAGTTTGCCCACCTGTTGAAGCATGAACAAAATTCATGGTGTAGATTTAGATCTGAGAGCCAGTGTAACGGTTCTAAAAATAAAAGCAAACGTTTCGATCTCTGTATACTTTTAACATTCGAACTTCCTTTTCGACGAATGGATTAATTAAGCATGAATATTATGGACGTCTTTGGTCATTCGAGCCAAGTGGAGAAAACTAAAATTAAATTGAATATAACATCGCTAATGCTGATGTTATATTCATTCACACTGGCAAACTATTCATTGAGCAGCGCCCTCCCACTTCGGGCAAATCCCCACGTCTTTCGATGTACTGCCGTCGTCAATGTAAAATACCATGACTGAAGCCTAACCGCGTCCCATCAAATAGTGCTTAATCCGCTCTACCTTCGACGAGGAAATATGCGTCAGTCGGCAAGTTGACCCAGTCGACCACAAAATTGGAAAAATTATACCCCGTCCGGAAAATCAAAATGCCAAAAATATACGGACCTCCAAACGGGAATAATCAAGGACACTTCATACCAAAATGCTTCAAAGTTTTGCATATAAGGTAAACCTATGAAAAAGCACCCTACTTGTTTTTTTTAAGAAAAGAAATAAGTCTAAACCTATTGCCAAATCGACAATACGGCTAATATAATCTGCATTTTCATAAGACCCCTTCAAGTCGAACTACGTCCACCAGTATTCCACATTACATGGACTGTTTACTCTCGTCATTCCACAAAATAGGGCAATAGAGCACTAGTGCAGATTTTTCAAAAATAAATACAGCAGTCTTCTTAGGAATTTAATTTGATTCAAAATTGTAAGGGTTAGTGGTTTAATTTTTAGAGAAAATCATTTCCAGATAAAAGAAAGTTTTGGGTAATTTATAAGCCTGTGTATCGCTGTGAAAGAAACATAGCTTCCTTCTGAACTTTTGCCCCAAAATGTTTACAAACTTGCCACTAGATGGCGCTAACATCTAAAGTTATATATTTGGGGTTGATCAAGCGAATTAAGATATTTAAAAGTCGTCAGACATTGACTGTGCGTGCGTGCGTAATGTGTACTTATCAATAGAATAATTACGTTCATTACGATCGTCATCCATTTTACAGATTTGTTAAATTGCCTCTATACAAGCTGTACATGGTTTCAGTTTGGCATTTCGTGTTGTGTTGTTCAACTTGACAATCAACAAGTGTTCCCTGACAACCAGGGTCAAGTTATTGAATTATTTCTCATAAACAGAATATGTATCACTAGCAATAACCATCTTTTTTTTTACATTTACTGAGCTACTACTACCTAATAGCTAACGTCTATTTTTCTTTTCTGTGAGGATATGTTGTGGGACATGCGGGAAATAAAATACACACTAATGGATTTCCGTTCACTGCGATACCGCACGCAATGCGTGAAAAGCGCGGACCGAACGACTGCCGCAAAAAAAAATCGAATAATTTGATGTTAATCATGAATTTCTTTTCTCATAGGTCAATGTCAAATTGCAAATCTTTCAGACGATGTGTTGTCGCGATACCCTTGATTCATCAAAATAACCGTCAACACATTATTAAGGGTATAAATACCACCGTCTAGATTATTATTACATTCATTTTATGTCGGCATTGGATGAAAAATCTGCTGGTAATCAATAATATTTTTTTTTAAAGTAGTTCTATCAGATCAATCTCAATGATAAAATCGCAGTGGTTTTCACAATAAATGCGGGATTTTTTTATTCGGGCTGACATATATATATATAGAAATATAATAGATATATTGTTGGTACTCCCATTTCCCATGTCTTTGAGCGGCTAGGAATTTTGATGAAAAACAAATGATATTTACTACACACTTTTAATAAATTTGATATGCAAGGTTACAATTTAATATCACGTTTATGCCATATACATGTATACGTTTCACAGCTTCAAAATACAAAAAAAATAACATAGTGACCGTAATTTGTAAGCGCCTATTCAAGACATTGTACAACGTCCTTGTTCATTTGCATAACGTCCATGAACACCTATCACATTGTCAAACCTCTAATACTACATCTACGTTTTCGGGGATGCATTTGTAACTTATTTGCTAGTTTTGAAATTAATTTAAACAATGGCCTTTTCACAATTCGTAAACAAATGCCACTAGACTAAAACAAAAACTGAACGAAGAGAATTTGAGGATGAAGGAATATTAAATGACATCTGAAATATATGTATCGTTTTAGCTGACATTTGAACCTATATAAAATTATTATAATTCTAACTATAATACAGTGTAAATCTACAACTTATTGAAATATTGTCAGCCATGATATAAAAAGTTCAATCTGCGTGCATGGATTAATCATTGCTGTTATGTTAGCGTTGTTATGATACAATGTCCATTTTTTAAAGCTTTGCATTCATAACCATGGTAAACATTTCATTCACAGTTTTCTCTACATTCTCCCTGTAAACAACGCAGTCAGTTTCAGCATCTTTCTTCCAGGATGACACATATAGTGCTAGTCTGTAAAGAAATAATATCACATGGTTGTTGCAATTGATGCTGATTCATTGGTGTTTGGAAGAAGGCGGCTAGTTATTACTCTTTTTAAATAAACATATTTGTTGACGATAAAAATGTATAGCTATTCACTGACCAAATTCTACAACCAATACAGTCATTTTGAACGCACTTTGTGTATTGGTTGCAGCTATTAACTCACCCATTTTTTGGTAAAGAGTAAAACACACCATAACCATTTTTGCACATCGGTGTCAAACCTGCCAGTGTTAGCAGATATCCAGTCAGAGATGTTGATAAAATAAAATTGCCATTTCCACCACTATGAAATAATTTGAGAATAATGCCAGTATGTATTATACCATAATTAGTGATTGATACTCCGGTATATGTCTGAAGCAGATCAAAAGCCGACATAGTATTTAAAGCTGTCTTTTTAGAACGGCCCATTGTAGCTTTTATGTTTATATGCTAATGTATGTAAATTATAATACAATCAAATCTGAGACATAAACAGTTTTGTCTGAACTGAAGTGCAGATGCGTAATTTAGTCACAACTCCACTAAATAACGTATTAAAATATATTTAAGTCTATATGCACCTTTTAATATAGGAAGGGTCCTTATATAATTCTGGAAGCGGGATTTTACTTTCTGATGCAATTAATTGTAATCCTAATAAATGTCGATCACACCCATCGTTGTTTACACATTCATTCATCAGCTGCATTTGCTTATCACTCGCCTTCTTGAACAATTGTAACCTATCCGACGGCTGAAAAATACGTACATTCAAGGTTAGCTCTACAATAAATAAACGTGTCCATTATGCATACAATTATACCACCAATAAATACAGATATACTAACTTTTATATTGTCATCCAGCATAGCCTTGCACCACTGAATTGCTTCTATAGTGCATGTCCTCACTGTTTCTGTTCTACCGTGATAGAATTTACGAGTTGTTGCCGTCTCATATGTAGGAGCAGGTCTGTTAAATTTACAATAAAAGTTACAAATTAGGTTTGTTTGTAAAACTACTGACACTAACTTCTTTCACTGGCAGGTAATATATGACATTGAAGACGAGTCCCGCTATTTAATTTTATCATTTCATTTCAGGTGTCCCTCTTTGGAGCATTTTTTTATTTTGAACAAAGCAGTAAATCTTCGGTTCGTATATGTTTTGCAGAACTACCAAAACAATACGATAAACTATATTTATACATAATACAATACATTGTTGAGACAAGTCAGTGAGTTTATATATTTGATTCCAATCTAATTTACTTTATACGACATTTATTTCCAGCTGAAATGCCGACGCTTTTCAAACTCAGACATATTATCACTCATCAATTCTGGTACAGTGATAATGTCTTATTGAAAGAGTCTTGCGTCATTAGTTGCATAAATACTGTTCGAGTACATACGATTTATTGCCTCACAGTTTCATTTGAGCAATTTACAACCTTTATGTAAAACAAACTTTTAAGTAATATACATTCTGCATCTCCCTGAAATCTTGAACGCTGTCATCTGTCAGGACGCAGTAGAGTAATTTCCTTTTCTACATTCAAACACTTACAAGAAGCGTTTGTGTTCAGTGTTTAATGGCTGCGTATTATCATACCTGTTGTACATCTTATAATAAGTATAATGCAATGCCAATTGCATGAATGCATCTGGATGGATCTGCTTAGTTTTCAACACATCCCGATCAAAAGGTGTTACTTTGATGGTGAGCTCAACATTATCTGCCTTAAAAATAGAAATAGTGTCAATTAATGTTACTAAACATTTGGTGTGTCATTTTTGCATTGATTAGCCAACCAAAAAATAATTTGCAGGACAAATATATTGACCAACTGCACGAAATAAAACGGCAAGAAAGCAAATGTGCTCTTCATAAGA